CCACTCCAGTGGGTTCTGCACCATGACAGGACTGATGGACCATGCACCATGGCAGCGGATCTTGCAAGGTCAACGTGTTAACAGCTGTTGACTTTGAGAAGGAGAAAGGACACCCATACTGCCAATATGTACCTGGAGGACATTCTCATGCATATTTCAGTATTTTTTGCAGCTGAAGCTTATAGAAAATAAAGATACTTAATACATAAGTTTGCATGTGGGTGTATGTGTACGCTGGTATACATAAAAAACAGTCTGTGTGTGTGCTTATGTATAGACACTATATTCTGTACACTGGATATATATCCTATGCATATACACTACACTAACATTACTAAACTACCATCCTACTAAAATACACACTATATACATTTTTAAAGTATTATATAAATATATTTACATTAAAAGTGCTATGTACATTTAGTTACTGAAGCTTGCTCTCATGAGGTCTAAATTATCCTATGATGAATAATTTCCATTTTTAAGGTAAAAGAAGCAACACTTATGGGGTAACAAATAAAAAAATACTAAAAGAGTCGCTGGATTTCATCTGATGTTCATTGTGTGTTACTTGTACCCAAAATTATACAAAGAGCCTAGTATTTCCTTCAGGATAGGACAGGCAGAATTCCAACAATTCAGAAGTTTCAGGTGACAGTTCTGTTACTTTCAAGAGAGAAAGGAAGAAAAGATACAAAGACAAACATTTGCCTAACACTAGACCTGTATGAAATTTGCCCAAGAGTAACTTTAATTTAATACTAAAATTATGCAGCCTAGACACCCAAAGTCATGACTGATTCTAGGTCTTTCCTGTTTCAGGCAGAGTAGGGAATCAATCTCTTTGTGTGTTTTAACAAAAGCTGTTTTTTTTCTGAGTGTGTCACTAAGAATATGATGCTTCAATATTAAAACGTATACATTTTTACTGACCCTGAAGAGGTGTAAGATGTATAATGACATTGACTTTCATGTGGTTAACACCATAAAGGGATGTTAACTATGGATGTTACTGGATGTGAACTATGACTCTGGCAAATACAGTGCAGTAGCTTTTCTTCAGTTTTGCAATTATAGATTTTTTTTCTTATTAATTTCTTTCATATCTTAACTTAATGACCCATAGAATAATGTTAAAAAAGTGCGATCTCCCGAACAGAGATCTCCACACCAGGTTATTTACCTAAAATAGGTAAATATGGAGGTCACAGAACTGCCAATATACGCACTCTAGAGGCAAGTAGGTACTATGACCAAAGACCTGAGGCTTCAAGTACTATTTTCTCACTGTTAGCTTTCTTGTTTTGCAGTTTTATCTTCTCCTTTGCTGAAATAACCCTGAGTAGTGGGTAAACAGCAGGAGATTGGCAAGGAGGTAGGTGCATGTTGACTAATCAATTATTCCAACTGCCAAAACACTTTGTGTGCAGAACCCGTAAGCGATGGCAGGTCCCGACCCCGAAATTTGCGCCCCTTGGGCATCAAGCCGGGCTGGCGGATTCCTAAAGAATTCCTGCTTCCCTTGCCAGCTGCAGCACAAGGGCTGTCTCCATCCCGCAGCCCGTTAATTCACCTTAAACCCTCCTTGTGCACCTCGCCATGGCCCACGCTCGGCAGTGCCCACGACAGTCTAGTTGCTTCTCCACAAGGTTCCCAGGGCTCCCCTTGCTGCTCGGGGATTTCAAGGTAATAAACACTCAATCACCTTACTTCAGGGTGGTGTCTTCTACCCCTGCTTAGTCCAAGTGCTGTTAACACCCTGCATCCAAAAGTAAAGCAAATCCTTATGGCTCAGTTGCCCTTCTCTCTTCCTCAACCCCTACCCGCTTGTTAAGTATCATATTGCACAAATCTAAAATGTTAAAACAGAGAAAAGATGACGTATGTCTTAATTCACTAAACATACCCCAAATCATAATGAAAGAAAGCATCTAGAGAGAAGTTCAGCAGTAAAAATCGGGCAGGAGATCATTTTCAAAACCTGAAAATCTTTAATAATTTTGCCTCCCATTTCAACTCAAGTCAAAAGAAGAACCGCTATCCACTATATTTCTCCGCAATGGCCAGACAGATGGTGTTAAGGAAGATTATTATGCACTGTAGTCAACCACAGGAGGTTTTATTATATCCAAGAGTCCACTGCGCAAGGTAGAAACACAAAGAAAAGATCTCTCTTCCGAACGCCTCATATGCTTTCCAAATGGAAGAAAAGGTGGAAACAAAGAGAAAACAAGGGAATCAAAGCTACCAGTGGCCAAAATAAGCAATTGTTTTATGGAATTTTTGATTTAAGAGGAATTTTCCTAAGAAGAGTTAACAGTCAAGCGGTCAGCTACTTTTGCACTCCTGCATGTGCAGAGCTGCTGTAAATGGTAGATGGCATTTGCCTGTCACCTGGGAAAATATCATACAAAGGAAACAATGGGTTAGGCCACATGGGGACTGTCAGATTCGCTCCAAAAATATATCTCATCCAAAGAAAGAAGGTTTGTACTAGTATTTACTGGATATTGCCAAAACTCAAGACTGTTATACTCAACTTTGGTCAACTCCATACGGCAGCCCTCATATTCTCATAAAGCTCTGAACAGCCAGTATTCTCAATCATTATTTTTTAATGATCAAACACTGCAATACCTGGTTCTGCAGAATTACTTGAGAGCAATACAAATAATGCTATTATGTAGAGATATGACTTAATTATCTGCACAATAATAAAATCACTATGTTGCTATCTCAGTAATTTCTGCAGTAAATTATCCCCTTTACACCAGTGGCAACCTACAATGACAAATGAGAAAGAAATATATCCTCAAGACCTGAAACTAATCTGAAAGAAAAATAAATAAGCTACAAAAGTAACAGTATTGGTACTTGTCCACTGCTATAGCATCCTCATTTTTTCTCCCCTGCCACACTTCTACTGATACAAGGAAGTAATTTACAATGTCAAGGAAATCCATGTCTGTCTGTGCTGAATTACAATATTCATATTTCTACTGTAGTCTGTAGTGAACTAAAGCCATAATAAGCCCAGCTATGTTGATGAGTCATACAAGCCATTTTTCATTTAGTAAGGCATCTTCAAATATCACTTTTACTTCACTTGTAATAATTACCATCAACAAGCAATGTTTGTGCCATCATATCCTAACTGCAAGAAATTTCCACAAATAAATCACTGAAAGGTTAAGATATTTTTCATGCTAAACATAATGTGCAGGATTAATCTGCTTTATTTTGCTATTGTTACTAGTGAGATATCCTGTCGTCGTATCAATTTATAATTATGCCAGATCACATGGCGGGGAGAAACAAGAACAACAAACAACAGATGGATGTCATTTTTGCTTAAATTTTCAGGGTAAGTTATACATTTATGTTAAGTTCATGAAGCACAACATCCAGATGGAAGTGCACTGGCAAAACAAAAACTGAGACACGTCTTTTTGTCAGTTTAATAGCAAACTAACCGAGTATTTTTCAGACAACACCCAGCTCTGCTTTACATTTCCCTGTTTGATCCTTTAGTCTACTTTTTGGTATTGATTTGGAATAAAAATCCCAGAGATAACAGTAAAATACAGGCTTTGTTTTGGCAAAAGATGAGAGGTGCATGAGATAACTGCACGCAATGCTGACAATTCTCAGACCCCCGGGTGGAGATTGTTTTCCAGCATGGAAATGGGTGTTGTTTTCAACATATCTACACTGGTGACACTTTCCTCTTAAACAGGATGCACTTCTGTAAATGACAGGCACATCATTGCTGCACCTTGTGTAACAGAATGTTTCATGAACACCAGAGCATCAGCAGCAAAGTCCAGAGGTCTAAATACACCGGGTACTGCATCTGCCACCTCCTTGCTCCTGAGAGCAAGCTCCCTTGCCTCTACCGAATGAGAAAACTGAGTTATCTCAATCAGCATGGTAGGGGGTACTCTATTATATATCAGTATCTAAATACTTCTCTTAGTAATAATAACCAAGTTAGTGGGAAATAATTGAGTGTTCCCAGTTCGCCTGAAGATGCCAGGTGAGACCACTCTATTGCAGATGCAAATTGACTTCATTTTGCTCATCACAAAGAATTTGAATTTTGTATCTCCTCAAAATGAATTTTCCATTTACCTGCTCTGTTAAGTTGCTTGGCACTAAAAATTCCTGGGAATGTCTGGTAAGCCTGCTTTCATACAGCTGCTAATTCTTTAAACACAAGAACATTCATCATACCCTTGTCTTTGCCTTGCATATTTTAACCTTTGCTGAGATTAACTACTCCTGAAGTATGGAATAGAATAAAAAAGTTGATTTTAGTTACACAGCTATACCATTTTTTTCCGAGGGACAAAAATCCACATTTCTATTTTAAAGGCTTATCTCCTAAATAGCTTTAAGCAATTGATGTTTGTGTCATGATGTACTTTGGAGAGGCAGTTGTTGGCAGATGAGATTGATGATTGCATCAGCAGAAATCAACCATTTAAAATGTTCCACAAGACCAGTGAATTAATAATCTGCAGAAAACAGATTATACACCACTGAAATAAGTTAGCACACTGAAGATTTTTCTTTGTACTGCTTTTTGTTTTACAATGTCACATATTATGGGAAAATGCAATGAAGCAGAAACATATAATGCAAACAAAATTTATTCAGGATACTGATATATGTGGATCATTTACTGCTCATTCTCAGAAAGTTAGCTATATTTGAAAGTCATGACAGGTACCATTATGAAATACTTGTTTCAGAAGAAGTTTGTGATGGAGCATGTTAGGTCAAGTAAAATTTGCTCACGCATGATCATACCAGGTTAAATACAACGTGAAGCTTACAATAATGATAAAAAACAGGAAACATTTCAGGCAAAACTGGAATCACTATTTACAGTGAAATATCAAAGTGAACATTCTGATACCAAATACTTGGTTGAAACCAAAGTCTAAAAGTCAGGGAGATAACTATACTGAAGCAGATCATCTGAACTCATTATTTACCTTGTGTAACTGATAGTATTGCTCTGCACCTATTCCTCCTTGTTCTTCTCCTGTCCACAGCACCAGGCGCAGAGTCCTCTTTGGGCGAAGCCCTAAAACATAATTTTAAATACTGTCTTTAGTACTAAATACTCATTTATTTCAGCATTTTTTGCACCGCTCTCTATCCTCCAAGAGCTTAAAAATCTGGGTTTCCATTCAACCACCTCTCACCTGAACAAAAAATGAACTTTTGCAAGCGTGGGGTTTGCTGTTGGGAGCATTTTTGCTTACAGGGAGTGACTGGGGTGTGGGGCAAGGAAAGGACACAAGTTTTTGAAGCATCTCCTCTCGAAGGCCTCTGCTGCAGTAGCATAGGAGAAACAACAAGGAAACTATGTATCTGAAAAACATAAAATGCCAAATTAATTATCTTGATTGATTTCTGATACCATTGCTATGGTCTGCAGTAAATAATGTGTGTATGCTTTCTGAAGATCCAGATCAAATTTTTATAAGGATTATCATTGTTTTGTCATGGTTAATTTATTACAATTAATTGAAAACAAGCTTGGATTTTTTTGATTAATGTTTTCAAGAACTGAGAAGCACTGCAATATTATTTCTTCTTTTAATCAGACGAATGAAAGAGCAACAATCTGTACTTCAGAATCTGGAATAAAATCAGCTGTTGAATGTATGCAAATATCTTAAAACAAGGCAAATGCAAGGCCATTCTGAACTTTGCTCTGATAGCTGAGTACGAAAGATAACTTATCAGATATATTTTGAAATAGTTTATTGCCATGGAAGAGATGAATAGATAGAAGTCGTTACCCTTTATTTATTTGATTGATTCTATTCAGAAATGAATACGTTTGAGATATCAAAACTGACAGCAGAGAACAGCAAACAAACACAGAATAAATAACATTTTCTGTACAGTGCAATGTTAATTATGTTCAAGCAAAAATAAAACCCACCAAAAATACATATATTTTAAAACAGAAACCAGTTAGCAGAATATTATAAACTGTAAAGCATAAGTTAACACACACATTTCTGTGCTTAAAAGAAATAATATTAGTATCCCTTTCCACTCTTACTTCCTAGCTGAAATGAATGTATTTTAGAAGTAGACCTGACCTTCATTGTTTTTTTTTCTCTCAACACAAGGGGAAGTGAACTAAAGATTTCTCTTTATAAACTACACACTAGTAATGCTAATATATGAAGGCAGAGGAAGAATATTCAAAATCTAAAAGATTAGATTTAGATTTCTGATGATTTTATAATAAAGAAAGTGCAAGCCAATGCACAAGTGATCAAAATTTCCGTTTTCTCAATGTAGACCTGCTGATTGTAAGCCCAAAGGAGGTGGCCCCCCATTTTTTAACTCTTCCCTCCTCCCCTCTCCCCCATGCAGGTGGGTTTGTCCCTCTCCTCATGCATCACAGCAGCAGGTTGGGCTCCCTCACATTCCAGAACAGCCACATGTCCTATTACAGTAAGAACATGGCAAATGAAACAGCATGGGTTAGAGAGAAAAAAAGAAGAAGGAAAAAAAGAAAAGGTATGGAGGTAGGTTTTTTAATACAAAACAAAGCCTACAGAAGAAAATTTAATTTCCTCATTATCTTAATCTGAAGCTGATAAGTATTTATCTACCTTTTATTAAAAACTAATCTATTCTGACCATACTACATCAAAGAAAGCTATTATTCACAAGTACAACTGCTATGAATAATATCAATGTATGTTTTTATTAAAAAATATCAAATACAGTGTTTAAGCCACGATCTTTTTCTTTTTTAATGAGGTTTATCAATTTTACAAACTTTTAAAAACCTACTGATTCCTAAGCAGGGTATAATCCGAAGTCTTTCAGATCACAGCCCAAACGTATTGAAAAAACATGACAAAACAGTACTTGCACAAAAAAAACCCTACATTCTGTGATGAGAATATTATGCACAGGGATATATAGCAAATTTTAAATCAAAAGAAAACAGCAGAACAAATAAAATAGTGCCTTTTTTACAGTCTTCCTTTTTATCCGTATAAATAACTTAATTACAAAGTCTAAAAAAGGACATCAGACAAAAAGTTATTTAAAAAAAATTTGGGCAAGTGAAGCAGGTTATTTTCACATTTATTGATGTATCAGTGCAAGGATCCTTGTGTGTCCTCAGTGGGTCACTCACATCTGAAACTATGTAATTCAGACGAAAGATGGAGAGCATTTTAGCTGCTCAAAACCACAGAAATCCCAGGTTCCATCCTAAAAAGAACACCAGGGGGTTTACAGGAGCATAACAGCTTGACTTCAATAGAGTGTCTCTTACTCAGATGTGTGAGAAAGCACACAAAAGGCTTAAATATGTACATAGGTCAGCACTTATGTTCATTTTACTGACCAGCCTCTACATCCTTATAATCTATTTCAAGCACAACAAATACTACAGGCTCCTAATTAAAGGAAAGAACACCTGGGCTCCTAAATTAAAGGAAAAAATCATGTCCCCAGTCCAGGCGATGTCAGGGGAAAGGGTGTTTGTGTGTGCTGTGTACACCAGGACACTTCTTTATTGCACTCCCTCTGTGCTGGGGGGTTATTGGCCATTTCACCATCCCTGTGTGGCGTGTTTTAAGATTACCCTGAACACTTCAGTCATAGTAAGATGCAGTCCTTATCACTACCATGTTCTGTTTCTTCTAAATTACCATAAAGGACTCGCATTTGCAGATGTCGTCAGAAAGCCTAGACTTGACCAAAATGCCTGACCAAATGCTTGAGGGGAAAAAAAAAAGATTTGCAATTGCACTAAAAAAGTGGCATTCATTAATCATCTGCTCTTTGATTTCAGCTGCAATGAAGTATTTTGCCAAAACGTTTTCTTTCATAATGTATGCAAAAGGCATTTACCAGTATATAAAAATGGAAGCCCATACAAATAAATAAATAAATAAAATGCCCGTTCACTTTACATTAAGCATGGGTTTTGTCTACCTTTTCACAAAGCTGAACATGTAGGTTTTATGATCATCAAAAAACTAACAAAAAGAACCTGTGCAAAAAGCACAACAGGGCTGAAGAAATATAATTGTTCGATATATAGAGCACCATTTTAAAAATCAATATAAAGATGAGAAATGTAAATACTAAATTTTGCTTTGCAAATGTAAATGCTTACTGATGAGGGGTACTAAGTAAAATGATACAATATTTTCCAAAAAGACAGTGTTGGCTAATCAAAGTTCCTCCAGAGAAAGCATCACGTTGTTCTTGGCCCGCGTATCTCTCTAAAACATAAAAAGCATCCCCACTTTGTGAAGAAAGGGTTTATCTTGCAACCCATGACACTGGGCTTGATCCACAAGCAAATCAAACAGCTGTTCATACTGCCAGCACCATATAAGTGAGTTGTCAATGAACTAGATTAATCCATTAGAAAGACCGATAAAATATTTTTTAAAGCCCTTACACAGCATTCACTGGTAAAATGCACCCTATGTGCCAAAAGAAGGCCAGGTCTGATTCACCCTGTTTTGTCTTCTGGTCTCAATTTTCATACTCTATTTCTACCTCTTCTACCAATGTATTTGTTTCAGGAGTGTCTATGGAAGGGTAAATATAAATCTATCACTCCCATGTCTGACCCACTGTCATACACAGCACCATAAGCTACTCATTTTTCTGCATTATTACCCTGCTGCCTGGAATGGCTTTAAGAGGATATTAATACAAAAAGCAGTAAGATGCATGATGACCCCGTACAGCATATTTTACTGCTGTTATTCATTAAATTCCGAATGCATTGTCTACCTTTTCCAGATCTGCAGCTGATTAGACACAGGAGATTTACTGGATGGCATCAGCTAGGGTTTTTCTATCAAACTTGCACTTCTCATAAAATGCCTTGGAGTAAAAGCTCCACCATGGAATAAAAAATAAGCAAAACTAATAGTCCATGTTTTGCTAAGGAAGACATTAGAATTCATCATCAAACACAGCAGTCAATTCAATTTCAAGTATCAGCATAATTTTCCATAAACAAAAATGAAACAGACTATTTAGTATGATCTCTGCTAACCCACCTGAAGTAATATTAATAATGTGGGATTTTGATGGAAAACTTCCCCTGCTTCAGCTGCAGCACAACGGTGAAATTCCACTTGTGTAATGTGCTTCATACCAGGTTAAGCTAGTTAAACAAGGTCATCATCTCGCAAAGCTCAGAGCTGGTGCTCTTAACAAGGGTATTACTACCTGTGTCCTGTCTATTATTTTTGGGAGATAACATCTATGAGACTAAGTATTTATCTGGGAATTATTTATTTTCTCCTAGGCACACTGCGACAAAGTTTTGATACTCTCCCTTGATATTCTGTGCCACGCATTTGCCTTAAAAATTGCTCTGTGAAGAATCTGCAAAATGCCTAAAAGAGCAGCCCCCCGCAGAGAGTTCAAGCGTTGGCATTCCGGTTTTACAGGAGCCCCTTGATCAGAAGTAGCATTTTTAGCTAACTTGTTTAGCACGTGAAGCTGCAGTGCCCACCTCTCCCTCCCTGGCAAAGCACTCGTTGTAGATACTGGAAAAATCCTGCTGTTCCATGTCCCTTCTCTCAGCAGCCCTGCAAGGAGAGCGCTGCCCTCCCCTCAGCCACCTTCCATTTCGGACTCGTGACCTCCTCACTCCACAGCGCAAGAGGTTCAGCTTACACTGTCGACACCTTCGATGTAGAACATTAAGGAAGAAAGGATTTTCCATGGATATTTTTAGATACATTGAGCTTTTCTGTAGCTCTGCTGTTTTAATTAATAAGACCTATAAAAACAGAGAGGCAGAAAAAATTGTCAAGCTCTTTTTAAAGATTTTACCTCCTTCTTTTAAAGGAATTTACATATAGTGTCTATTGCCTTCTAAACTGTCCCCATTTTGTGGAGAAACCACAATATTTGCCTTGGACTCCATGACATTAACAAAATTACACGTATGAGTATTGTCCTTTTTAATGTGGCACTTGTGCTATTCCTTATTAATAAAATCTGCTCATTTTTTCTGTAAATGTCTCAGTTTAAAATCAACTGGGTTTATTCTAGAATTAGTAT